ACCTGCTAGCCCAAACCCCTGAGGCTGCTAGCAACCACCGAAGCTTCTAGCCAACACACCTAGCGGCTCTAACCAAAACACTGAGCGCTTCTAGCCAAACACCGGAGCTCTGCTAGTCAACACACATAGAGGCTACAAACAAGCGAACTAGCAAAACCCCTGAAGAGCTGCTGCCAAAACACTATGGAGCTGTAGCAATACGGGGGGACAGCCAAAAACCTGAGCGCTACTACCAACACACCGTAAGTGCTGAAACCTTTTATTTTGTGTTACCACACACTAGCGTACTACCACGCCTTGACTCTTGCTTGTCCCAAAACCCTGAGAGCCCCGTGAAGCACACCTGAACTGTCCCAAACCCCAACTGAGAGCTGCCCCAGCCCAAAACAAGGGTAAACCCACAAACCCGAGCCCTTCAAGCCCAACACCTGGACCCTGCTAGCCAACACGCCTGAGCCTGCTAAGGGCCAACACCTTTTAAGCCCCTGACCAAACCCCCTGAGCTGGCGGAAAACACTGAAGGCTGCTAGCAAACCCCCCTAAGCGCTGCTAGTAACACACCGAGGTTGCTACCAAACCATGAGCCTGTCCCAACCACCTTGACGCTGGAGCCAACAACCTGAGCGTTTAGCCCCAAACATGAGCGTGTAAACAACACCTGGGGCGCTGTTAAACCCTGAGGTGCTAGCCAAACACCCAGCGCGCTGCCAAAAAACCTGAGGTCTACCAAAACAACCCTAATCACCCAAACAGGGGCGTGACCCCACACCCGAAAGTACCAAAAAACGAGGCTCTAGCCAACCCCTGAGCGCTCCTACACCCCTGAGGCTCTAAACACACCAGCGTCTCCCCCCCCTTCCCTACCCCACCCCCCCCTCTTCCCCCCCTCCTGAGCCCACCCGAGGAGAACACCCTACCTCTACCAACACCGAGGCGCGCCAACTCCTAAAACCTAAGCCAACACCCTAAGGCAGGCCCAAAACACCCGGGGGGCTGTATCAAAAGAGGCGCAAACCAACACCTAAAGCGCGCTAGAAAACCTGAGGCTGCGCCAAACACCTAACCTTTAAGCCAACCACCTACCTGCTCCACCCCCTGGCGTCACCAAACACCGGCGCTACTGCCAAAAAATGAGAGTTAAAACCCAACCCCCGAACCCGTTTACCAAACCCAGCGCGCGCCAAAAACCAGGGCCCAGCCAAAAAAAACCCTAAAGTCATAAGCCGACCAGCCGGCCTGTGGTTCGTACGTCGGTTTGCATAAGGCCAGCAGTAACAGCCTGGTTGATCAGGCCCTGATCCACCACGAGGCCTGGTCATGGACCGGGCCGTGAGGGTGTTGAGCCCAGGAACACCCTCCAGGCGGGCAAGTTGTTTTTTGTGTTTAAGAGACACGTAAGTTGCTCTTCTAATTACATGTTCATCTGTCCACTATACTCTACCTTGTCCATAGTTACTGTCATATTTACTTTGATTCGTAAGTTGAAGTCCAGGATCTTTGTTTAATTCAGTGTATAACTTAAATCTTTGAGGACAATTGTGTTGTAGAGGTGTGAACTTTGCTCAGAGGCGCCGCTCAGTGTGTCAGCACAGATTTAAGTTATACCATGAATTAAGGGAAGATTCTAGACTTCAACTTACGAGACAAAATAAATACGACAGTAACTATGGACAAGATAGATCATACTGGACAACTGAACATGTTACTACAAGACGGACGAACTTACGTCCCTCTTAAACCTCCTCAGGTGACGACTCCTTCATTATCATTCTCCCGATAATATGTAGTGGCTAAACCTTTAGATTTTTGTAACACACCAGCCGTTCCTCCCCCCCCCTTCCCCCTCCTTCCCTCCCTCCCCCTCCCCCCTTCCCCCCTCCCTCCGAGGAAGGGCGACCCGAGAAAGAAGAAACACCTTCACCATCATTCACTCCATCACGTCTTGTCAGAGGCGCGCCTACACTACAGTTAAACACTACACCGTACCTCCAGCCGTCCTTCAGAGTGCAGGCACCGTACTTCCCACTTCCAGGACAGGCTGATCCGGAAAAGAGGAAACATTGTCACAGTCATTCATTCACTCACTGTCTTTTCAGAAGTGTGCGGACATCTCAGTATAGATGACTCTGAATTGCAGATATTTCCAGCCGTCCTTCAGATACCATGCCTAACCCTTCTAGGGTAGGGTAGGTGCCTAAGCCCGAGCCTTTAGCTCATAAGACTGTCATTCCCATTTGCCCCCTTGGGGCGGGGATGGCAGACCAGAGAGGCCTAGCTTGTGGCTAGGCCTGGGGACAGTTGGTCCCAAAGATGAGGAGGTAAACCATACCCCCGGCCGGGATTGAACCCGCGGTCATAGAGTCTCAAAACTCCAGCCCGTCGCGCTAGCCACTAGACCAGCTAGCCACAATAAGATTCATCCAACTAGGTATATTTCTACACCATAGGAAAGTTAGCACAGGCACCTCTGTGACCACAAATGCAAGTTTTTACAGACGAATCTCCAGCTAGCGTGGCCGTGACGAACTCTAGCTCAAGTCCCTTCACTGGTGTAGAAATATACCTAGTTGGATGAATCTTATTGTGGCTAGCTGGTCTAGTGGCTAGCGCGACGGGCTGGAGTTTTGAGACTCTATGACCGCGGGTTCAATCCCGGCCGCGGGTATGGTTTATTTGCAATCGTGTCATTACGATTTCTTGAGTCATGAGGAGGTACTTGTGCCTCCTCCCATGGGAAACTTAGGTCTCAGACACTCCCTAAAGAGGGAGCCAAGGCCGGGCCACCACTTGGAAAAGGCCCGGGCCGGGAGAATACCGGCTAATCTTTAATAATAATAACCGAACGTCCCACCTCCGGCTAGCCGGTTTCTTCAAATCCTTTTCATAACGGTTACCTTGCTCACACTCCAACAGCACGTCAAATCGTAGAAACCATTTGCTTCCACTCCTGTCCAAACGCTCCCACAACCCTGACGAGTGTCTAAGCTCTCTGAACTGATATCTCCAACACTAACAGCCTGCGTGATCCTAGACCAGGCCTCGGTCACCTTACAGAGGATCGAGCCTCCAGCAATCATTGCGCTGAATAACCCACACGGGTTTAACGCTAAATGACATACACTGCAGCATTGGGTATCCTTGATCAGCCAGGCTGTGGCTGGTGCTAACACGTGTATAATAGTCGTTTTGTATATTGTATTATTCAGATGAATATCTATACAACACAAGGACACGATGCTACAATACTCTATTATTTACCGTAGAATAGTGTCTATGTGTTGTATAGATATACACGTGTTGTATAGGTATACACGTGTTGTATAGATACACACGTGTTGTATAGGTATACACGTGTTGTATAGGTATACACGTGTTGTATAGGTATACACGTGTTGTATAGGTATACACGTGTTGTATAGATACACACGTGTTGTATAGGTATACACGTGTTGTATAGATATACACGTGTTGTATAGATATACACGTGTTGTATAGATATACACGTGTTGTATAGATATACACGTGTTGTATAGATACACACGTGTTGTATAGATATACACGTGTTGTATAGATATACAGGTGTTGTATAGGTTTTACACGTTTTTGTATATGTATACAAGTGTTGTATAGGTATACACGTGTTGTATAGGTATACACGTGTTGTATAGGTAAACACGTGTTGTATAGGTATACACGTGTTGTATAGATACACACGTGTTGGTATAGGTATACACGTGTTGTATGGGTTTATACACGTGTTGTATAGGTATACACGTGTTGTATAGGTTACACGTGTTGTATAGATATACACGTGTTGTATGGGATTTTACACGTGTTGTATAGATATACACGTGTTGTATAGATAACACACGTGTTGTATAGATATACACGTGTTGTACAGATATACACGTGTTGTACAGATATACAGGTGTTGTATAGATATACCGTGTTGTATAGATACACACGTTTTGTATAGATATACAGTGTTGTACAGATATAACATACGTGTTGTACAGATATACAGGTGTTGTATAGATATACACGTGTTGTATAGATATACACGTGTTGTATAGATATACACGTGTTGTATAGATACACACGTGTTGTATAGATATACACGTGTTGTATAGATATACACGTGTTGTACAGATATACACGTGTTGTACAGATATACAGGTGTTGTATAGATATAAGAACATAAGATACAGGTGTTGTATAGATACACACGTGTTGTATAGATATACACGTGTTGTACAGATATACAGGTGTTGTACAGATATACAGGTGTTGTATAGATATACACGTGTTGTATAGATACACACGTGTTGTATAGATATACACGTGTTGTACAGATATACACGTGTTGTACAGATATACAGGTGTTGTATAGATATACACGTGTTGTATAGATATACACGTGTTGTATAGATACACACGTGTTGTATAGATACACACGTGTTGTATAGATATACAGGTGTTGTACAGATATACAGGTGTTGTACAGATATACACATCTACTGACACATGTTCTACATAAACACACATATACGTATGTAGGTAATTAATCTTTAGAGAAGAATTTGACACGCTGATAAATAAATAAATAAATAAATATGCATGTGCCGAATAGGTAAAACTGGTCAATTAGCAATAATTAATTTACAGTTAAATCCTTTCTAAAATTTTCTCTCATACATTTAAAGATATACATTTTTTCATTTATGGTAATATAAAAATTAATGATTTTTACCAAAAGAACCTTAGAAAACTTACCTAACCTTATTATAAGAAGCGCAATTTAATTTAGCCTAATCCAACTAAATATATTTTATATACGTTTACAATATTTTAATAATAAACAAACATAATGAAATATATCTAAATGATGTAATGGTAGTTGTTAATACTAATAATGCAATTGTAGTATATCTCTGGTAGCTAATAATCTTAGGGACTTAGTAGGTACTAAACCTTAGCTATATAGGTGGTAGCCTGCTAACCTTAGCGACGAAGATAGCGGTGAGGGAGCAGACGACGGCGCCCAGACCGCTCGAAACATTACCCACGAAGAGGCCCACAAGAATAATGAGACCAGTCAGGGGGTTGTTACCGAACGCCAC